CAGGACCTGAGGCCCTCTGTCCAGCATCCTGTGAGAAACAGAGTCCTGTGAACAACTGCATGAGTGAGCATGGTTGCAGGTCCGCCGTCCGTCAAGCCTGGAGGTAACTCCGGCTTGGCTGAATCCTGGTTGTAGCCTTGTGAGAGACCCTAAGCCAGAGGATCCAGCCAAGCCACACCTGATTTCTAGCCCACAGAAAATGTGAGACATATCTTGTTTTAAGCTGCTAGGTTTTATGGTGATTTGTAACGCAGCAATAGATAACACATATACATTCGTACTGTGGACCACACCCCCTTGTTCACAAAGTAGATATTCAGGCATGCTGCTTGCCGCTCAGCCTCGTTTCTTTCTTCATGCTCTTTCAAGTCCATCCCTGAGGGTGGCTGCAACATAGCTGCTGTCCATTTTTGGCTTGCTCTCATATGTAAAGCCAACCCATCCATAACTCAATCGCAAGCTTTTTGCTTCTGTTTAAACTAGTCATACAGGGACCTCCCACTTAGGGCATAGGTAGGTGCAAGTGGAGAGGGAGATGCTGGTATCACTGTGGTGGGTGACATGGGAATCTGGACTGTCTGGTCAGGAAGTTTACTTTACCCTCTGGTACTGCTTCGCCTCAATCCAGGATGTACCAGCTTTTTCTTTTAATGGACTAGTGCTGGATCTGTCTGACTTTATGAGTTGGTGGGCCCAAAGTAACCCAACTCCTGAGTAGCTCTGAATACTTGGTGTCCCACAGTCAAGCATCCTGTCTCCCAGGGATCAGTAACACATCAAGAACTAGTTCTCAAAAGGTGCATAATGTTCAGCTGCAGATGGCATGACCACCTCCGGAACCCAGGGCCTGCCTTGTGATTCTCCCCCTGGGACTTCCATAAACTCCATTCCCCACCACTGACTGCTTGACCAGCACAGGTCTGCTGGAACTCATGGCCCAGAACCCCAGCTGCGTGCATTAGACCTGCCACAGAGCCCTTTTCTGCTCTGGGTTCCACTCAAAGATAGTAGTCTTCCAGGACACCAGTGTATGGCTTGGCACAATATTCCTAGGAGTCGAATATGTTGCTTCTAGAACCCAAAAGGCTTATCGGGCACAGGGCTTCCTTCTTTGTAGTAGAGAACGTAAGATGCAGTCATGTGTCTCTTACTTTGGAGGCATCTTCCAGCACGCTCTTGACCACTGGACCCTGAAAATGTTACTGTTGTGGCAGGTCCCTGAATCTTCATAGGGTTTATCTCCTACTCTTTGGGGTGCATTTATCTTTCCAAGGTCTCCAGCATGCTAACCACTTCTTAGTGGTTTTTTTTTTTGCCTAATCAAAATGATGTTATTAAGGCAATTATGTTCTGAGGGAAGTCCAGCTCTCTTTTTCAGACTATATTATAATAAGTAGGGTAGTTAACAAATCTTGGAGCAGAACTGTAACGTTGTTCATCCCCTTGACTTTCTCCAACTCCAGTTTCCATGTTTGTGGATCTCAATTGTACACTTGAGGACAAGAGAAGTGACCCCCATCTGCAACCATGGGCCCAGTGGAACCACTGTGAACTGGGCTTCAGCTAGGACTCTAATTACAAACATCTACCTATTATTTATTCGTTTGTTTATTTTATGTCTCTACTATGTCTCTTGTTTATTCCAAAAAGAATATAAGCTCCTTAAGAGCCATGACTTTACAGGCTTTAGTCTCTGCTGTATCTCCAACACCTTCAACAGTGCCTGGCACACAGTAGGTGCTCAATAATTGAGTAACTCTATTGCATTATGATTTTAATTTGCATTGCTTTAATTATGAGTAAGATTTATTTCTTTTTTGGTCTTTTTTTATTATTGAGTTATAGTCAGTTTACAGTGCTGTATAAGATTGTATTTCTTATTCTGTAAACTGCCTTTTCCTCATGATCATATTATCATTAAAAATGTAATAATATTAGTAATAGTAATAATAGTAATAGATTTTGCTCCCTCTGTTCCTGGCCACAAGCAACAGCCATGTCAGAGCAGACAGAGGGGCTGATACAATCTCAAAAATCTGATCTCAGAAATCTGATTGTCTAAAGGTGAATTGGCAATGGTCTGGACCACTTAGAGACTGTGAACATGTCCTAATCTCTTGTGTTCCTTTGGCAACCTGTTGTCAGCTGTAAAGAGGCACTTACAATGTATTATTATGCCTTTTTACTTGTCTGTTACTTCTCCTACATTATATTTCTTAAAGGAAGGAACTTTGTTCTTTCATCATTTATAACCAGGAGCTAGCCCAGTTCCTGACAAGCAGTGGGAGCTGAGAAGTGAACTAAATAAATGCTCATGAATAAATGAATCAAGTCAGCCTGACAGGGCAAAGCAGCAAGAAACAAATGTATTTTAGATAAAAACAGGTTCCTTCTGAGATTCACTCTAAAATGATGCTCCACATTCAAGCACCAACCTGGTTCAGCAGTCTAACGGATCTGGGCCAAAATGAGATTCAACTCCTTAAGTTTTGAAAAGGAACTTTTTCTGGACTTTCACCCCAGGGCATTCATTGCTCTGTGGGATATGTGAAGAAATATCTGTGTCTTTAGAAATAAACATTGCATCAAAATTGAAAAATGAAAAAAACAATTATACTCTGTTGACAGACTTAAAAGTTACTGCAGCAGAAGTTGTCTTCTACATATGTATATACATGTGCATTTTTATGTGAATTATACATTTATATGTGTGTGCATATAGTCAAATATATGTACACATGCATACAGATATGAATAGTCATTGCCAAAGTTTAGTTTGGTTTAGCAGAAAAATATAAAAAGGCAAATAGAAGTTAATGGCTCAGAGATTTGTCTTTACTTCTATTATGGAAGATGATCATTTGGTAGTTTAAGTAGATCCACTTTAATTAAATATGCCAGTATATTATTTAACAAACATTCGACTGGTATTAATTGACCACGTACTATACCCCAGGCACTAGTCTAGGCACTTGGGATATACTATTGAAAGAGAAAGATCGAGCCTCTCCACACATGGACAGATCCCTGTTCATGTGGAAACATACAATAAACATAATGAAATTATACGGTATGTTAAATGGTGATAAGTGCTGTGGAAAAGAAAACTGAGCAAGATAAGGTTGTTCAGGGGTGCCAGTGCGTGTGCTGGAGGGGCTAGCAGGAGTGGGGGAGGGTAAAAGCTTGCAGGATTAAATGGGGTGATCAGAGTAAGCCCCATTAGTAAGGTGAGATCTGACCAAAAACTTACAGGGAAAGAAGTTAGTAAAGTGGATATCGTTGAAAACAACGTATCAAATGTTTCCTACAGGTCTTGCCATTTAGTACAAATATTTTAATTTAAATAAGAGTTTCGATGGTTATATTCAAAATGAATATCTGAATTGACAGACATAACTATTAAACAGAACTATAATTCGTCAGACAAAGCCTACTATATTTGAAGCTTATGTGGTGTAAAAATAATTAAGAGAGCTACAGAAAGAGGGACAAGGTATCAGAACAAATATTAGCACTGCCAATATGCCCCCAAAATGCAATTGTTTCATCTAGTATCTTGACTATTCAGGCTCTTATTATATGGTGAAGATTGAGGTAGTTCAAAGGAATGCAATAATAGGAAATCATTATTTGAGGGGCATTTGTTATTGGCCACATACACCCATGGTTAAGTCCTTTTCATAGATTATTTTTATTTCAAATAATACTCATTTTGTAAATGAGAAAATCAAACTTTGGAGAGGATATGTAATTTACTCACACAGCTAGCAAGTGGCCAGGCCAGGGTGTGAACCCTGCTTTGCTTGACACCAGAACCCAGAACCTCTCTCCTTACGCTGTACTACCCTCGTCTGCATTCTGCCACGTTCATGTCTGTGATGGGAGGTAAAATGTCGGAGAGTTAAATCTCCACAAGAACAGGGAAGAAATGTACGTAGAATCTGATAACCGCATTCTTCTTTCACTTGGCCCCAGAATTTAAGAAAGGGTTGCTCAAGGGCTTTGCAGACATAACCCACATTCCAGCATGTGACGCCACAGCCTTTGGGAACCAAGGCTGTAGAACTTTATCTTGAGTGAGATCACAGCAACAAGCACTTCTGGGGTTTGGGATTATTAAGACACCTGTTCGGGATCTAAGAGTCCCACGATGCCCCGATTCTATACGTTAGCAGTCCATATTATTTTGAGGCTACATTGCAGAAAGCCAGAAAGAAAATGCTAAACAGGCAACTGGCCTATTTCTAAGCTATGGAAGTAATTTCAACTCAAGAGACAGTGTTGTGTTAGCCAAAGATGAACAAAGCTCTGAGGGAGGCATGATGGCATAATGAAAAGATTCCTGGACTGAAGACAGAAGACTTGAATTCTTGTCCTGGCTCTGCCATTAACTCATCTTGGGCAAGTCACGTCACCTCGGTGAGCCTTGGTTTCCTCATGCATACGATGCCCACTACTGTAAAGCTTAAAGAATGCCAGTGGGTGTACTTACTCCAAGAGCTGATGATTGGTTGTCACAAATAATTTATTTGTATACGTGTCTCTGGAACCAGAAAGTTTGATTTTAAGAGCTTAGTGAGAACGGGAAACTCTAGGACGGGAGTGGCGATGACTACTAAGAGATAAGCTACGATGAGTTTAGTTAGAATTGGCTAACAGCTACTCCACTGACCCTGAAGAGTCCTGTTTAGAACCAGAGTCATTTTACGGGAGTGAGTTGGTTCTCCCTGCCTCTCTCTGTGTTCTACATCCTGAACCCCATGATGCAGATGAAAAGAAGCAAAGGCCACAGCACTGATGTGGGGAAGAGACAAGGGAGGTAAGGAGATAGTGTTAGGTCTCAGGTGGGCACAGTCACCACAATACTCAGGAAAAGTTAGCCCCTCTCTAGATCACAAAGGGAGAGAGACTCAGAATGCTGTTCAAAGATCTAATCACTCCCCAGCATGGTCTGAAGGTGAGAGAATACGGGCTTCGCTGAGAGCAGTTTCTGGAGTAGCACGGGCCTCCGGGGTTCCCAGCCCTTGAGCAGGCGGGAGGGAGCCCAGGAATAAGCATCGTGCAGAAGGAGGGGAATGACAGTGGCCAGGGTCCATTTAGTGCCTGGCATTTGAGCCTGGCTGACTTGCTGCCCTGGAAGTGTCAGTTAATTTGCCTGACACCCCCACTTCCCTGCGAGCTCACCTTGGAAGGGCCAGCCCCTTCTTCCATTCTATTTCCGTGAGCTCTGAGTAGGTTTCGGTTTCTTTTAATCAAAAGCAGCTTGACCGGAAAGAATACCACCATGTGCCTTGCCTGCAGGCTCATAAAACAGGCCAGAAACAAGAACCGCGATTCTCCCAGTCTCCCCTCATCCACATTCCTGGTTCTGAGCCAAGTCTGTAACAGCTGTTACAGTGAATGGAGAGGACCAGACTCTCTTCCTGAATCTGGACTTTGGCTTCACAAACCGAGACCAAGAAACCAAGTCACCTTCTTGGTTTTGGTGTCCCCCCCTTACCTCTGATGAAATAGCCCTGGCCCTGCTGTACTCACTAAGGCAACCAGCCACCCCCACCCCTGAAGCAGGAGGATGCAGAGGGAAAAGTCACTGGGACGTGGGGAGCAGGCAGCAACAGCAAGGGGAAGAGATCCCAGCTGTGTGGTGAGAGCTCCCCAGGGACTGATGACGCGGACTTAGTGAGAACATCCCATGGGGGATGGCTGGGGCATTCCAGGCAACAACTGATGGCTTGTTTATCTTAGAGTTTCTTCAGATCTGAGTGGCTGCCCCAGTTTTCCACATTCCTTCCCAAGGCATGTCCCTGGAAAGGGAAGGTCTGAGTCTGAGCTGCTTAGGTTTGAGTTTTAGGCTTGAACTTCTCAAGAGAAAACTGCACTTGGAGGGGTTAAAATATCCTATCCACACAGCTTCTGGAGCAGGTCCAGAGCCAGGAAGGAGGCAGGGCCCTCAGGAATGCTAGGTCATCTCTGCCAGGGCAGCTTATGGATGCAGCTCACAGGGAAGCCAGACCCAGCCAGGAATGCCAAGACAGGAGGGGAGAGCCAAGCAGAAAACAAGGATGTCGTGTAGTGGGCCGGGGGCCAGGGGGAAGGTCAACCAAGGTGCTGATGCCAGAGATGGACCTTAAACAAATGGGGGGCAGGAAGGGTCAAATGGAAGTTGAGCAAGGAGTGGGATACATCTGAGGAGTGAAATAGGGTTTATTAAGATGAAACTGGCACCCTGCCACAGCCCTTCAGTGCACATTTAGTACACTCCCTTAATATCCTGAAGCAAGGCCTTGAAGTGCCAGTTCCTCACTGAACTTGCAGTGCAAGGGCCAGGGCCTGCTGGAAACAGAGAAGAAGCCCTGAGCCAAAGTGAGAGGAACTTACCAGGGTCAGGGGCAAAGCTAGGGCAGAGGTGGCAACTCAGAGGAAAGGATGGCATTAAGAGACCACGAAAGTATAGAAAATACTGCCCCATTTCATTGATGTCAAAGTCAAAGGGACGACTAACACAGGAGAGCAGTTTAAGGGAGTGGCCTCAGTGGCCTTCAGCAGAGACCGGGAGGGTTGTTAGGATGGAGGATTGTGGGGGGCAAAGCTAAATCTTCTAGGGAAGTCTATCCAATAGAATGTGGAGGAGACCAAGAGTGGCCCAGCCCCAGGAAACTGGGCAGGCAAGGGTAATTCAGGGGAGGCAGTCACCAGCTTCACAGTGGGGTGCAGGGTGGACGCCCCTGAGTGAGCTCAAAAGCCCAAGTGAAGCAAGTGGAGGGGGCTACAGAGGGACACTCGGGGCATTCAGGGAGAATCACTACCCAGGGACACCGGGTCCTGTGTTTCAGCTGGTGAACCAAAGACTACTCCACACCTCCACTGACTAGTGCTGCAAGGGCCACTGATGTTCTTCCCAAATGGAGCCTTCTCAGTCTTGGGATGGAAGGGGGAGCTTTGGATGTCTGGGTACCAATTACGAATGGTGGAGACGAGATAAGGATTAGTACAGAACCTGACAAAGGAAGACTCAGAGAGGAGCCAGCAAGAACTCTTGAGGCCCAGCGGGACTGATGCTAACACATGGAGAGAGAAATCAAGGGCTGCTGTGGTGGGGTGGCAATTCTGATATGTTGCTGCCAAGATTATGAATAGGTTTACTCTTTTTGGAGACCAGTTTGGCAACATGTAGAAGGACCCATAGAAACGTGCCTACCCTTTGACCAAAAACTCCACTTCTAGGGATCTAAGCGAAGGACTGACGTGGACTCAGCTTTCTGTACAAGGAGACTCACCATCGTGTCATTCATACCCAAGGAAAGTTGGAAGCAATACAAACATTCAAAGGCAGAGAACTGACCTGGTGAAAGTAAGGAACTTCTGGAAAGTGAACTCTTCTGTGGCCAGTGGCTGATACTAAATCATGCTTTTGAAGGACCCTAAAAGACATGGGAAAGTGCTTATATTATAAAATGCTAGGTGGAGAAAAGCAAAAACAAGTAAACAGAAGTAGAAAGTAGCATATATAGAATAGTTTCAATTTTGTGAAAATATTTAAATATATCAACACAAGAAAAAAAAGACTGAAAGGAGTTCTAAGGCATTAATAACCACTATCTTAGATAGTGATATTATAGATTATTTTAAAATCCTCACCAATTTTCTAAAATAACTTGTATTATTATAAATGGAAAACATAAACATATTATGTAATACCCAAAGGGAATTAAGGAATGGGTTGAAATTCACTGCATTGAGGAGTTCTGCCTCCCTATGTGACAAACTTCATAACTGTACCTCAAAATCACGTGTGTCCCCAGGGTCTGCAAACCCTCTGACATCTTTAGAGCACTGCTGTTTCTGATTGCAGACAGACCAGACACACAACACCACAAATCATTTACTTCTAAATTACTGAAATTTCGATGTCTATTGAGATGTAGTTATACTTGAGTCACGTGCATAACACAGGAAAACCAAATGAGGCTCAATCTTTTTGAAACAAACACGTGTTTATTATTTTATCATTAAGTGGGATCCGTTGTATCATAACCCATTGCCTTGATTTATAAAGCATGGTGGAGCTTTTGCAGCAAGAGAACTGGGAAAGGGAAGCAGCAGAGCTGGGGGAAGAAGGACTAGCCAGGCTAGAGTCATAGGCAGGCCAAGCGTCAGCATCGCACAGGGACCAGACACGCAGCATCACGGGCTGGCATCCAAGAATTCTAATCTGATGGAATTCGGCAGTGGCAGTTGGTGGTTTCTTGGCCTGGTTTTTTAACGTTTCAGAAATAGAAGCCCATTTACCCAGTTAATGGTGGGGGTGGGGGGGGATGAGGCTTTGTTGTAGGGGGCGTAGGGTATAAGAAAGTCAGGGAGCGCACTTAACGGCTGTCCTCCGTCACGTGAGAACTACAAGTCGCCTTAGAATACAGCGCAGCCTGGGTCACCCTGGGGGCCCCTGGGCACCACTCAGCCTGACTCTGACGCTCTACAGTTTTTACAGTGACGTGGCTGCTCTAGGTCTTTGTTTCTAGTGTTCCTACCACTCACTGCCAACTGCTTGCTTTCTTCTTTTTGTCTTGGCTTCTGCTCACTGATGACATCTGCTGCCTCATTGTTTCTGCTTTCTGTGAATGTTTTTTCTTTATGTGTCTTTTCAACTTCTGTCCCTACTATCAACAGCAGGGGCTCTCCCAAGGCCTCCTATTTAAACTCTCCGACATAGAAGTTCTCACTGGCTTTGTTGCTTGTCTTTTTCCTCGTTGGGTAGAGCTCACTTGCCAGATTGCTTCACGGAACACTGACAGGCCTACATTGGGCTGCCCTGGATGAGACATCCAAATTTAGTTGGATCAGCTGAGGTCAGGAGGTAGGCGTTGTGACTAGTTTCCTTCAGAAGGGGCAGTGGGCATTTCAGGAACTGAGAATATGAGAGGTTCCTCCCCAAAGCAGAGTCCATCCGATTTGAGGCAGACCCTGGCCAGAGGTTAGAGTGAGTTAGGGATTTTCCCTTAGAAAAATAAAAGCTGGTGATATTGTCAATATCATAGTCCCAGGAGGGAAACTGAGTCAGACACCAGTCAGATAAGCAGAGTGCAAATGGCAGCGAATGGGAAAAGACTACCACATAATGCACACTCCAATGCCTATGACTCACCCCAGCCGTATCGGATTTCAAGCTTAGGACGGTATGACTAATGGCAGTAGACTGGTAGAGGGATTCCCTATCGCAACCAGTCTTGGTCAGGATTAGCTCAGAATTGAGCCATATTGAATCAACATACTGGAGGCCTCTGATCCTCTGTAGAAATTCCACAGATGCTTTTGCATCATATAGAGAGGGAACTTTTCCTCTCTGAAGAGTTTGTCTTTAACTAACAGTGGGTCAGGAAATACTTCTTGAACTTTTGACTTGTGAACTCTGAATTTAAATATTCAACACAGATTCCTTCTTTGCATCTTGAAAAGCATTACGGCATTCAATTTTTTCCTTTATGTATATTAGTTTCTTGTGGCTGCTGTAACAAATGACCACAAACTTAGATGGTTTAAAACAATAGAAATATATTCTCTCACAGTTCTGGAGGCCACAAGTCCAAAACCAAGGCACTGGCGGGCCCATGCTCCCTCTGAATGCCCTAGACAATAATCCTGCTTTGCCTCTGCCAGCTTCAGATGAGAGCCTGGAGTCCTTGGTGTTCCCTGGCTTACAGCTGCATTGCTCTGATTTCTACTTATCTTTATCTGACCGCCATCCCTCCATGCAGGTCTCTGTGTCTCTTTCTCTTGTTATAAGGATTCCAGTCATCAAGTTAGGGTCCACCTTAATCCAGTATGACCTCATTTTGACTAACCACATCTGAAAAGACCTTATTTCCAAATAAGGTCACATTCTGAAGTTTCAGGTAGATTTGAATTGGGGTAGGGGGGGCATTATTCAACCCAGTACAACATGTTAAACATTTCCCAATCTTTGGTCAAATTAATAATGGAAAGAAAATCCTATGCTTTTCTTAGTCTCCATTAGATGAGGTCTATTTGTTCCTTGTACCTCTAAAATGGATATGGGATACAGAGATGACTGGCGTTATGAAACCTTAAATCTTTGACCAACTGCCTAGCACCACCATAGATTCTCAAGGGATCTGAATAGAAGGGAGACCTGGGAAATTAACTCCGCTATGAAGAGGGACTTTGGCTCTAAACTCCCCTGGGGCCTCCCATTTCTAGAGATTTGGGCTGACCCACTGGACCTCTGGGCTAAAGCTCTGAATAAAAGCAAGAGAATGTCTTCTTGTAGACCGAGAGTCAAGACTATAATTTTCCATCATAACAAGAGATCAAAAAGAATTTACTCAAATGAAAAATGTCTGAAGGGAAAGAGAAAAGCTCATCTCTGTACCTTGGGAAGCAGCAGACACAGAGGATAACGATGTGGGCTTTGGAGTTAAGCTTGTCATGAGTTCAGATCCTGGTTTCATCACTTACTAGCTAGGTGACCTTGTTCATACTAATTAGTCTCCTTAAGTCTCAGTTTCCTCATTAGAACAATGAAGATAGTAATATCTTCCTCACAGAGCTACTGTGAAGAGTAAATGGGGTAATCCACGTAATGCGTGTGGTGCATGGGAAGTGCCAGCTATAATCATTACTAAGGCCAGTACAACTGGCTTAAGCTGCTCAAATATATCTCCTGACCTTGCACTGATTTCTACTGAAACTTCCTAGAGCAAGAAGGCCCTTCCATATGGGAGGCATCCTAAGATCCTCCGTCACCATCTACGTGAGAGACACGTTCTCCATAAAGGCAAAACGAAGAGCACTCTCAGATCAGCCAGAGGTTTCAACCTAGAACTTGCAAAACGCCAGTTCCCATGCCAGATCCTGCTCCTCATGAGTTTTCTCTGGTCTGAACGAAATTCTTTTAAATTTGGAATTTCTTGGCCACATTAAAAAAAAATCTATAAAGATTTTTTGAAACCCAAATTTCTGGCTTGAAAAGTCAAAAGACCAGGCAATACTAAACCTAAATTTTCCTATGACTAGAGTGCCCATATAGTGTATTGTACACATTGGCACACTTTTGAGAGTAAGGGGAGGCTTTGTAAATAACTGTGCCTGAACAACAAGCGTTAACTGAATCTGCCTGAGGCAAATCAGGATATGTGGTTGGTCACCTTACCCACGAACTCAGTGATCTGGAGCTAAATAAGAGTGAATGCCTTCCGTAGGGGGTCTGGCTCTCTCAGTTTGCCCCTACTTCTAGGGTTTTGAGTTTTCAACCTCTTATTTTAACACCTTTGCATATCACACATAATAATTGGTCCTCCAAAACCAGAATCTAACATCTCTGACCTGGGCTTCTATCATCTTCCTTCTCTGAGAAGGAAAGAGTGTGGGGTGAGTTATCAATCAGTGCATACGCTGGACTTCATTCAGATGCTATCATGGATTCTGCTAGAATTTCCAAAAGCATAGTAATACCTATGTAATGTCATTAACACCTTATCATCATCTGATGTCTTATTAATTAGTCCTTCTCTGCATCTGTAGAGCATTCATCTTTGGGCTGTGTCACACATTGTCACAATAATCATTTAGAGACATTGCAAGATTCTTGAAATGCCTTCTGAATCATGCAAGGATTGGATTGAGAGGAATATAAACCAATTCTTTGAAAATTTTTAATTTTCAAGGGGTTTCCTTCCAATGAATAAATTGTATTCCAAAAGTTTGCTTGTAAGTCTAGCATAAAGAATCAGAAGGCATATTCCTATAGAAATAATGTTGTTGCCTCCCCATGTCACACACATATACACACCCAAAATAAAATGCAGTATATGTATTATGAAATAAATACACTATAGAATATCTAAAGATTAGTACTGGATCCTAATCTATCCCTGGGTATTAGTAGTTGGAACACTGTATTTGTGTAAGAAAAAGCATCTTCTAAGTATTCTTTTTTTAAAATACTCACTCTTTAGGAATTCTGAACCAAGGTCAATGGCGGGAGAAGTAACTTTCTGAGGGGGTTTTAGGGACAGACTCCTCTTCTGCCCATTTGCAAAATGTTTATTCACATAGTATTTTTAGGATAGGTACAAATGTGTATAAGAAATATCAAAAGCTCTTTATTACCTAGAATATTTGATGAGTACAGAAAATGTCATTTGTTGATCAAAGTGGATTATTTGAAAATTACAAAGTGGAATAGGACTATTTAGATCTGATGAGTGTATTGGAAGAATTACTGCTTGAGGATGGGTGACCTTGCTTTGAGTTCAGTCTCTACTATTAGCTTGTTATGCAACTTTGGATAAATAGCTTACTCTAACTAAAATACAACTTTCTTATCAGAAATCTGAATAAGAATGATGATAATAATTCATATTTCACAGACATTTTGAAGGTAAACTGAGATAATGTAGCTTTA